AACCCTCATATTTTCCTTATGCCTTGCATTGGATCATTGCTTGTACCCTTAACGTATATGCAATGCATTGTGGAGGCTGCTGATTGACAACCTCATGCTAATGAGATCGACTTACAAAGTCTCCTGCCTGCTGGTAGCTTTGCTCTGCTCCATTGTGCCTTTCCACAGTGGGTCTCTGTTTCACCACAAAGGGGAGACTGACTGAATGGAAGAAAAAGAGAATAATTCTATTCAAACATTAGAAATGGTGCAAATAAGACCCAGCTGGTTGTGAGAAGTGTTTCACACATTGGTGACCTACCCTGGGTGATTTTGTGAATTGGTTAGAATGTTCATTCAAGTCAGATGGGGCAGGGGTTGTTAGGAGATAGACAGAAATAGAGGAGAAGCAGAAGCAAGAAAAAGGCATCATGTAACCAGGTGTATCATGACAGCTTGCTAAGAAATGTTTGCAGAAAAATTAAGTTAGATTATGACTGATCTACTTAAAGATACAAACCCATCTCCACTTTGCAAGCTCTATCTTCATCATAAAAATTGTCCAAGAAAGAAAATGTTCAAAGGCAACCGCTGTAATACAAAAACAAAAGTATTAAAAACAAACAAAAACATTTAGCTACCTCCTGGAGAACCTAAAGGTGAGTCGCTCTCTACCTTGCTGTGAGCCAATGATGGAAGCTCTGTGAGGAGGGCCTGCTCCCACTGAGAATGACAGTCACTCTGTTAGAAGTGAAAGAAGGACAACACCAACAGAAATAAAAAGGAATCAAATTAGTGGTGTTTGAACCTTTAAAGGGAGATAATAGTCCAAATATACTCCTACTTTGTCCAAGTTAATAAAGACATCATTTCAGCTTAACAGAAACTGAGAGGCCAGGATTCCTATTTATCTAATAGCTTGGCTATCTTCACGGACTTAATCCATACCTACTTTACCTCCCTACACATGTGTTGCCATGAATTGGAGTCAACACTACAGTATCTGGTTTTACATTCATAGACCTTTGTATTCAACTCTTAATATCTATCAACTTTCTATCCCCATGGCCTAATGAAGAGCTTCATAGTTTCTGACTGCCTCTCCTTCTGAGTTAAGAAAATATTCTAAAACCATGCAAAGAATCAAAACTATTTCATAGCACCACGAGAGATGGAGTTGCCATAGAAGCACCAATAAAAAGTTCTTCTTATATACAAACTACATTTTGTGAAGGCTGTAAACCCCAAACCCATTGCCATCGAGTGGATTTTGATGCATGTTGTTGTTGTTAGGTACCGTTGAGTCAGTTCCAACTCATAGTGACTCTATGCACAACAACAGAACAAAACATTGCCGGACCCTGCGCCATTCTCACAATTGTTCTGTTCAAGGCCATTGCTGCTTTCACTGTGCCAATCCATCTCCTTGGACGGCCTTTCTCTTTTTCTTTGGCCTTCTACTTTTCCGAGCATGATGTCTTTGTGCAGGGACAGGTCCCTCCTGACAATGTGTCCAAAGTATGAGAGAAGTCTCGCCATCCTGGTGTACTTCTTCCAAGACAGATTTATTATTTTGACAACTTCTGATATTTTCGATATTCTTTGCCAACACCATAATTCAAATGCACCAATTTTTCTACAGTCTTCCTTAATCACTGCTAACTTTCACATGCATATGATGTGATTGAGCATATCAGGGTTTGGGTCAGGTGCACCTTAGTCCCCAGAGTGACATCTTTGCGTTTGAACACTTTAAAGAGGTCTTTTGCAGATTTGTCTAATGTAATACACCATTTGATTTTTTGACTACTGCTTCCATGAGTGTTGCGTGTGAATCCAAGCAAAGTGAAGTTTTTAACAACTTCAACCTTTCTCCATTGATCATAGTATTATTTATTGGCGCAGTTGTTTAATTGAGGTGCCATCCATACTGAAGAGGCTGTAGTCTTTGTTGTTCATCAAGGCCTCTTTGCTTTCAGTGAGCAAGGTTGTATCATTTGCATATCACATGTTGTTAATGAGTCTTCCTCCTGATACCAGGTTCTTCTTCATATAATCCAGTTTCTTGGATTATTGCTTAACATACAGATTAAAAAGATAGGGTGAAAAGGTGCAACTCTCACGTATACATCTCCTGATTTAAACCATTCACATCCCTTTGTTCTGTTTGAATGACTGCCTCTTGGTCTACGTACAAGCTCCTCATGAGTACAATTAAGTGTACTGGAATTTCCATTTTTCTGTGTTATCTACAGAGTTGAGTGCTTTTGCACAGTCAATAAAGCACAAGTAAATATATTTCTGGTAGTTTCTGCTTTCAGCCCAGATCCATCTGATGTCAACAATGATATGAACAGCGACCCTACATAGGGTTTCCGAGGCTGTACATCTTTAGAGGGGCAGAGAGCCTCATTTTTCTCCTGTGGAATGGCTGGTGGATTTGAACTGCTGACCCTGGAGTTAGTAGTCCAATGTTTACCCTACCATGGCACCAGAAAACCTTTGTGATGACCCTAGTAATCTAAAGTAGCTCAAGTCTGCTACTTTGCCTAGAAATTCACTGTGACATCATCCGAAACACCTATATACATAGAGATACATAATTTTCTAAAATCTTGGAACAAAAACAAACCCAAACTTTTGCCCTCAATTCAATTCCAACTCACACCAACCCATCAGAACAGAGCAGACCTGCTCCATAGAGTTTCCAAGGCTGTAATCTTCACAGAAGCCCACTGCCACAGCTTCTTCCCACCGAGCAGCTGGCGGGTTTGAATGAACTGCTGACTTTCTCATTAGCAGTGGAATGCTTAACTACTGCTCCACCAACACTCCTTAGGATCTTAGAAACAAAATAAGTCTAAACATGGATCATATTTGTATGGATTTGACAGACAGAAGTAGTAAATAATTGTTGAGAGCAATATTGCATAAATTTATCCTTTTATTTATTTATATCTATAGGTCTCAGTCTATCTATCCGAGTACAGTCAAACACCAAAAATCTCCTGCCGTGGAGTTGATTACGACTCATAGGGACTTTATGGGACAGAGTATAATTGCTCATTAGGGCTTCCCAGCCTATAAATCTCTATGAAGTCAGATGGCCTCATCATTCTCCAAGGGAGGAATAGTGGTTTCAGACCAAGACCCTGAGGCTAGCAGCTTAAACCATGGTGCTACCAGGATTCCTGTGTTGTTGTTGTTAAATGCTGTCGAGTTGGTTCTGACCCAAAGCAACCCTTATAGGGTTTCCAAGGAACGGCTAGTGGGTTTGAACCACCGACCTTGAGGTACAAATTGACTTTGCTGCCACACCAGGACTCCATACCAGACTTCCTCTATATAGGTATAAATAATGTGATATCAAGAGTGATACAATTGTGCAAAACTGTACCTTACTTCTCTAATTTTACCTCTAATACAAAGGTCCTAGGAACCACAGGACACAACTCTCCCTTCTTGTGTGTTAAAGTATCTTGAAGATAACAGAGCTCTGTGCCTCTGGTTCACAATCATTTTGTTGTTAAATACAGTTGAGTCTATTTAGACTCACAGTTTCCCTGTGATCAGAAAGCCTCATCTCTCTCCCTCGGAGCAGCTGGTGGGCTTGAACCGCTAACCTTGTAGTTTTTTTTTGTTGTTGTTGTTGCTAAGTACCGTGGAGTCGGTTCCGACTTATAGTGACCCTGCACAGGGTTTCCGACGCTGCAAATCTTTTACGGGAGCAGAAAGCCTCATCTTTCTCCAGCATAATGGCGGGTAGTTTAGGAGTCCATAAAAATGCCTTCATCTCTTTTAAAATCAGAAGGAGAAAAATAAACCGTTAGGTCAAAGAAAATGTTTAAATGTATAATCTACTGTCTTTATATCAATGATGTCATAACTATTGCATATATGGAGTAAGGGAGCCATCCACGAGGCAAATGTACTACCTTTCTTCAAAACTCATAAACTTGCTTTCATCAAAAATATTATTTGCTTACTATCAAAAATGTCAGCTTCCTTGTTTCAACTTTGGGAAGTTCTCACTCTTTGCAAGAAATTTCCTTGTCCCAGATTCTTCTGCTCCTGAAAAGTTCGATTTTTTTAAAACATTTACCCAACTGGGAATTTCCCTTCCCCAAAGTTAGATTTTGAAAGTAGGAAGAGATGTGAACTTCATATGATAGTCTACTTTACAACGCAGACTAGGAAACGAAATGCGATCTCCCAGGTTCTTCTAAACCAGGACTGCAGACGGAGACCCGCGCGTCTTTTCTCGCAGTATTACACGACCGACCAGCAGGGGGCGTGGGATTATCCGCACCAGGCGCAGCTCTCACTTCAGCGCCGCAAGGACCGTATCCCTATATGCCCCAAGGTCATAGCTCTTAACCGAGCTCGCCTGTGACGGGCCAGGGACACCCAGGAGGGAGACTGCTGGACTGGGGACCCACGCAGGGATGGGGTCACTAGTGCAGGGCGAAAGGGCGCCAAAGCTAAGGATGCGATCACAATGGGACCAGGTGATGAAAGGCACTAGGGGCCTGGGTCCCGGGCCGTCAGCGCCGCCGCCACATCCCGTGCCGGGAGGGGGATGGGGTGCGCGTAGACGCTCCGCACCACAGTCGGACGGAGGAACCGGGAGCGGCCGCGGCCGTGCGCGCCCAACACTCGCAGGCTAGCTGGCCGCCCTGGGGACCCGGGGCCCGGGCCGCGAGCCGAGGACAGCCGGGCCGGCGGGAAAGGAGCTCCCAAACCTGCAGGGTGTTTGCCGAGAGGGCGTTTTCCCCTCCCCCAGCGCCTCGCCCGCCCGACCCGCCCCAAGCACAGGGAGATAACCTCCGCCCGTCACCTCCTCCTCCCCGTCGCCTGGGTCCACCCGGGGCCCCCTCCCCCGGGCCGCCCCCGAGTACCAAGTTGGCGGGAGCCTATAAAAGCCCGTGGCGGATCGACCCGTGGACACACCGTGCAGAGACCCGTGCAGCTGCCGCCAGCTCCACGCCAACTCCTGCTCTGCCCTGACCGCCGAGGCGACCATGTCCCATCACTGGGGATACGGCAAGCACAACGGTGAGTACGCGCGGCAGAGGCTGGTGGTGCGGCGACCCGGGCCCGGCTCTGCTCGGCGGCGCCCGGACCTGCTGTTTACCGAGACCAGGGGGATCCCAGGAGGCGCGAGTACTCTCGGGGCGGCTGCCCAAGCCGGGGATGCCCTCATCGCCCAGGCCAAAGGCCACTGTCGAGGAATCCCGCGTCCGGCGGCGGCGCTCGGGAGCCTGGGGAAGCGGGGCGCGCAGTCCCGGCTGCTGGTTCCCACGAACGTCCCTCCTGGGTTCCGATCCGAAGATCATCCTAATCGGACCCCGGAGGAAACGGGAAAGGGTTGTAGCGGGAAATTTTTTAGTTGCTGAGCCTAGAGATATTAAGGGAACCCCTCCCAGCTCACCCCCAGCGTCAGCACCACCTGTGGCTAAGGCCCTCAACATCAAATGTCCGGGGCATTTTCTCAGGCTGGTTTGATTTCATTGCGTTGCTTTCGGAGTTTTACCTTCATTTCTCCACTTGCATACTGAGCAATATTTAGGGGTTCACTAGAAATAGGGCTTTATCAAGTCCACGGATCTGGATTCTTCAAAGCCGGCTGTGGGAAGGGAGACATGCGTCCAGGGCTGTGGTGCCTCCCAGGTAGTGGGGGTTCTAACCATTAAGTGCGTGGTGCCGGGACAGAGCAGTGAGCAAAGAGCCCAGAGGTTTGGCAGGTGTGGTCGGAGCCCTGGGAGCCACTTGAAGGGTGGGGACGGGGAGTATGAGCAATTTCTATTCGATATCTCACTGCCAGTTGTGAGACATCGTTTAGCGGTTTAGAACTAATTGCCATAAACACTATTTTCAGTAGGTATGCCACTGGAGTTGTACACCTAATTACATCGCCGATGTAGTGTCTGCCCAGTTTCAGTTGCTGCATTTCAGAAAAACAACAATAAAAATCGCAAATATTATATGGCACTCTATTTGTTCTAAGAACTTTATGTGTGACGATTCTAATTTTTACAACCCCTCCATAAGATAGATGTTAGTATTACCCTATTTTACAAATGAGAAAATAAATGCACAGAGATTGCCTTTTCAAAGCTGTTAGTTACATGTTGTTAAGTGCCTTCTAGTTGTTTCAGACTCATAGCAACCCTGTATAGGGTTTCCGAGGAGCAGCTGGTGGGTTTGGATTGCTGACCTTGAGGATAGAAGTCCCGTGCTGATCCACAGCACCACCCCAATGTCCGCTAGTTACATGGTGCCACCCAAATCGGAACTCATGCAGATTGGATCCAGTATCATTGCCCTATTCTAGAGCTTCCGATATGCCCTTCCCCTAGGGGGGTATTCATTCACATGTTCTTCTCACTCCCAGGACCAGAGCAATGGCATGAGATCTTCCCCATTGCCAAAGGAGAACGTCAGTCCCCTGTTGACATCGATACCAAAGCAGCCAAGCATGACCCTGCTCTGAAGCCCCTGCATATTGGTTATGATCCAGCGACCGCTCGGAGGCTCATAAACAATGGTCACTCATTCAACGTGGAATATGATGACTCCCAGGACAGATCAGGTTAGTGTTTAAACAGTAATTTGGACCTTTTAGCCAGTAGCTGTTTCCCCAGTTTAAGAGGAGTGGTGGTGGTTATGTGCTGTGGAGTCAGTTCTGACTCATAGTGACCCAGTATATGGTTTCCTAGGCTGTAAATCTTTATGGGAGCAGAAAGCCTCATCTTTGTCCCGTGGAACAGCTGATACTTTCGAACTGCTGACCTAGAGCTCCACAGCCTGATTCGTAACTGTAACTACTGTAGAATAGTTAGGAGTAATGGTCGAAAACCCTCTAATACCACACACAGTCTGCCCCCTTATACTACAGATGTCATACTCTAAAACACCACTAGGGTAATTTTCATCAGAACATAAACTTTGAGAAGTAGGCAAATTATTTTGAAAAATGGCCTGCAATTGTTTTTCCCTTGTAAAATGCCTGGCTTTTATGTAGGACATTGAAAAATTGGATATGGCTATATATAATAATCACCAAAAGCAAGATCCCCTGGCAGTAAAGATCTACAATAAGATTTGAAAAGATTGAACTTTTAAGATTCTTTCTAAAATATTTTTGATGGAGCCCTGGTGCTGAATGGTTAAAACTCAGCTGCAAACCAAAAAAATCGGCATTTGGAACCTACCAGCTGCTTTGCAAGAGACAGATGTTGGTGTCTGCTTCCATAAGATTTATAGCATTGGAAACCCTATGGGGTAGTTGTACTCTGTTCTTTAATATAGTTATGAGTCAGAATCGACTCACTGACAATTGATCTAAAATAGTTATTTTCCTGTGTTGAATGTACAAAAAGTACATTTTAGCTTTTTCTTCAAGGTAGTAATGAGAATAATGAAACCTGTGAACTTAGAGTAATGAAATCCTTATAAACATTTATGAGTATTTCTTAGTATTGGGCTAGTGATAAAGGTGATAGTGTATCTTGGCATAATGTAGGGTGTCTATGAATGCTTCTTTTGTCTTTTTGTAGAAATAGGAGAACAATCTCATTCAGACATAGTAGCAAACTTCTTTGCCCACTGGTTGATTTGCTTGCCAGTGCCCTAGTTTCCTGAGTGCTTTCTTCTGAAGGTCACTGAATGAATGGTGCTATCAACACATTATGTTTGGTGGTCATGCCGGAGTGGGGGCAGTTGGAGGGAAGTAAAAGAAGATAAAGAGAGCATACAATATTGTTATCAAAGTGTGGAGAAATGACCTACAGCATTAATATATTATAAGTTATCATAATCAATATACATGTAGTCAAGTGGTTTGTTCTTTTTCATTAGCTATATAATATTTGGAGCAAACATTTGTTACACTTAGCTGCCAGCCAGTAGGTTGGAGGTTCTAATCCATCCAGAGGTGCCTCAGAAGAAAGACGTCGTAGTCTACTTCAGAAAAATGAGCTATTGAAAATCTATGGAACATAGTGTTGTTCTGACACATATGGGATTTTCATGAGTTGAAGCTGACTTGACACCAACAGGTTTATATAATATATTCAGTCCAGCTCTGAAGAAAAAAAAAAAAAAATTAGATTTCCCTCCTACCCCTACCTTTAAATATATTTTTTTTTTTTTACATTTGACTTTCTGAAACAATGACTCAGGAAAACATATCAATGGGAAATAATATGGAAATTATCTGAGAAATGTTTTCAACCTACTTGTACCCTTGTACACCCTTCCCCATTAAACATACACATGTACATATGAATGCCGTCACATGCTGTATCATAGTATCGTGATTTATTAGAACAGGTTGAGAATGTACAAAGCAAATTCTTCTTAAGTGATTCTGCAACCTTGCCTTCCCAAGGAAGCCTCTAATCCCCTAAATCAGTAGTCAAATGACTTCAATTAAACATAAAGAAAACACTTTGTTTCTTCTGTGTAAAGGATATTATATATTTAGATTCTAAAATGGCAAGGTGAAAGAAAGGTTATGGGAATATTGTGCATATGCAAAGGATGTTATGAAATTACATATTTATTTTAAAAGCTAAATGAAGGGAGCTATTATACTTTGTAGCAGCATCAATGGGCTCAAGTGTGGAACAGTAGTGAGGATAGCCTAGGATCTGGCAGTGTTTCATTCTGCTGTGCATAAGGTCACTATGAGTCGGCACCGACTCGATGGCACCTAACAACAACAACAACAACAACAAATTGTACTCTGTAGCTGATAACTTTTTTTTTTTAAGAATCACTATGAATGTATGTTTCATTTTTTGCCAATACAAATCATTGTTTTCAATGATATTTATTAAATTATATACTTCACTGGATGCTGTGTAGACACTAGATGCCTAATGTCCTTTTTTGGAACAATGAAAAAGCAAGTGTTTAGTAAATGGAATCAGATAAGGTAATTCCCTAAATTACATACAAATTTGATGATGCAATGAATTGTTCCAAAAGTGTGTGTTTCCTGGAAAGTGGATTCAACATACAGTCTGGTGGTAACAAGCATAGACTAGGGTTTGACAGGCCGGGGCTCAAATTCAGACTCTGCCACTAACTAAGCCCGTGACTCAGCATTATTGCAACTTAAGCTCTCTATATTTTGCTTTTATCAACTAAAACATTTTTAAATTGAGCTAACACTAATGTCTACCACAGAGGAAGACTATTGAATATACCATTAAGTGCCAGAAAAAAAGCACAAATCTATCTTGTGAGAAGTACAGCAAGAATGTTTATAAAGAAGGATGTTGAGATGTTGCTTTACTTACTTGGGCTACGTTATCAGGAAGGACCAGTCCCTGGAGAAGGACATCATGCTTGACAAAAGTAGAGGGTCCATGAGGAAGAGGAAGACCCTGAGTAAGATGGATTGTTTAGTCCATTGTTGAGTGCCTGCAACCATGGACTTGCAGTAATGATTATGAAGATGGCTCAGGATCAGTATATCATTCTGTTGTGCATAGGATTGCTATGAGTTGGAACCAATTCAGTAACAATGTACCTAACAACACTATTCATCTATTGTCATTGAGTGCTGGATTCTAACTCCACGTAACAGAATAAAACTGCTCCATAAAGTGTTCTTGGCTGTTATCTTTTCAGAAACAGATCTCCACAGAGATGCTGGTTGAGTTCAAACTGCTAACATTTAAGTTGGCAGCTGGATGCTTAGTCATTGTGCCACCAGGGCTCCTTGTTATCCATCTAATTCTTAGGGGAAAAATAAAAAGGTGGTGGCGATGGTTGTGTGCCATTGAATAGGTTCCGACTCATCACAGCCCTGTATATGGTTTCCAAGGCTGTAAATCTTTTTTCTTTCTTTTTATTTTTTTAAATGCTTTATTGTGAATTATGTGATAGTTTACATGGGAAAACATTAGCTTTACATCCATCCTACCAGATATTGTTTCATTGCCATGGCTACAATCCCCTCCATGAATCATCAACCAACCCCCTGTTCATCAGCACACAGCCCCTTTCCCTCTCTGGGTCTAGAGTTCCTAGCCGCTCCATCTCTCCACGTCATCATCTCTGGCGTCCTATTTCTCTGGGTAGGGTTACTTCGCTCTTGTCCCTTGATGGTCCCAGACTGCAAAATCAATCACTCCCCTCCTTTTGCTACAAAACCTTCACCATTATTACATTTCCAACCTTCACAGTTAGTCCTGATAGCAATTAATTCACTATTGTGCCACATGAGTGCTATCCCCATCTCCTTTCATCAGCCCTGCTCAGACAGATTGGATACTACTCAGTGGAGATTCTACCTTCCTCTGTGCCCTCTGGATCTAGGCTCCCTCTTGAAAGCTTGTAAGCCAGTCACTTCTTGCCTTTGAAGCACTTCCTCCCTCCATTTTGGGTAGCCAATGTCCAAGTTGCCCATCCCTGTCTACTCTCTGTGTGGAGGGGTGGGAATAATCCTCGCTGTAAAGATTTGTTCCCTCTTTTGAGCTACTGCATCCATAGGTGTAGGTCAAGCTCATCAAATAGTATCAGATCACTCTTTTTTTCCTCTTCTAACTTCTTTTAGTTGAGTTATGACCATCCAGCCATTGAAGCTAGGTCAAGTGGGTATTATCTGCAAGTATGGGTGTTCTTGTGCATATGCCCTCTCTTCTTATCAGCTGGATGTTTCACTCTCCATTCTAGTCCTCCGTGACTATGTCACTGACTCTGGACCCAGGAGTCCCCAGGTCTTGCCATACTGCTGGTCAACCAGGTCTCAACTCGGGTTCACAGGAGTCTGTTGAACATGGTAGGGCTTAGCTCAC